AAAAAAAAAAATAAAAAAATAATTTTTTTTTTTTTTTATTTTAGATTAGAAAAAGAAAAAAAAAAAAAAAGGTAAGTCGGTGGCATGAAAGAAATGTAAAAGTTTATAGTAAACAGAAAAGTAATTGTTTCTAAAGTTCCTTGTGGTAAATTTGCAAATGCAAGAATAAGTGTAATTAGTAAGACATGCAATTAAATAGGGGAAATACAATGAAGTACTCAAAAGAAGTCAGAAAGCACTTTTTTGTTTGGGTTCATTCTCTGGTGCCCATGAGTAATCGTAAAGGTAATGGAGAAGGACGAGGAGAACTGCACCATTAACTTTAAGACCCCCCCCCCCCAGAAGCAGGTAACATTAGAGATTGCAGTTGCCAATGCCACTCAGCCAGTATATGGCCCAACTACACTTGAATTGCTTTGGTCATCTCGTCAGAACGTGCTGTCAATCTGCATGGAAAGCCTGCACTAGTGGGTGCTCCGGTTTCAAGGTCAGAGGGAGACCACGGCGGCAGGGGATCAACTCTAGGGCACCCTCAAAGTCCTCAACACGAGGCGTTCAAAAACGCCTCACACCTTGCGGCAGATCGCCATCCGTCCACCCCCGCGACGCCTCCACGGTAGAGGCGGCCAGAAGATGAAGAAAAAAACAAATTGGCGCAGCTAGGTGTGGTGTTGGTGAAATGAAGGCCCCCCCCCCTTTTTTTTCTCCCCCAAGACCCTCCCGGTGTCTACTGTTTAATAAATCAAATGTGATGATCCTTGTCTACTTACCAGAAAACTTTCTACTATAATTTTCAACTTGGGCTCTAGGGAAATAGATGGTATTTTTTTTAAATTAAAGTACGATAACTTGGAGGTATTATAGTTACGATCCAAAGATGATATTGTTAGTATCCACCCACACATGATATTGTTAGTATCCACCCACACATGATATTGTTAGTATCCATCCACACATGATATTGTTTGTGCCCTCCGTAGATAGATGGAGTGTTTTTAGTTGTTGCTGGTTTTGTTTGTTTTTTGTTTGTTTTTTTGTGTTTTTTTTTTGGTGTGTTTTTGGTTGTATTTTAATACAATTGATGTAGTTGGTACTGGTACGATCCACCCTTGATATTGTTTGTACGGTACAAAAATGTTGTCACATTACAATTAATGCAGCCAAAAAACTGGCGACCTAACACAAGCTCTGATATCTGTTTCTTGTGGATGGAATAAAGTGACTGCTATAATGACACCGTTATTTGAACTCAGTCAATGTCCGACATTATATTAAAAAGAATATTTATTTTAAGTATTTTATATGGCATCATATGTCCCCTAGTCATTGCCGTATTTGTATGTCCATTTACATTAGTGGTTCTCAACCTTCATAAAACCGCGACCCTTCAATACAGTTTCTGATGTTGTGGTAACCCCCCCCCCCGGCCACACACACAAAATTTCTTTTAAAATTTTAGTTGCTACTTCATAAATATGTGTTTTTCTATTATAACATGACCCTATTATTCATTCACAAAATAACTTGGCCCTACCATTCATACACAAAATAATATGGCCCTACCATTCACACACAAAATTTCTTTTAAAATTTTAGTTGCTACTTCATAAATATGTGTTTTTCTATGGTCTTAGGCGACCCCTAGTGCAAGGGTCAATCGACCCTAAATGGGGTCGCGACCCACAGGCTGAGAACCACTGAAGTACATCATGTCCTATTTCTTATTATTCCACCAACCTCCAAATTTAAAAAAAAAATAACTATGCACATTACATTTAACATACCTTTTCTCCGCTGTGAAAAAAAAAGAAGTAAAAATAAGAAAAGCTGTTACTGTTACTGTGCTGGGAGGCAAACATGTAAGTACTTGCAAGTTTATTTGTACACATAATATTGTGAAGTAGCAAAATAACAATTAGGTGGAGCTGCCGTCTTGGTCAGGTTTTGAGAGTATAAATGAAAACAATGCTCCGGACGGTGCTCACTAATCGGCTCAGCGATCAACAAATAGTCCCGGATGTAGGCTACGCCAAACACCGCACATATAGGATGCGCGATTTTCTACGTAGACAGGACTTCCTATTTTGACAGTTAAATTCATATAATAGCGGTGCAGTAGTGCACACGTGAGAGACACGCACACTGAGATATTTCAGAAGGAAATCCATGTACAAGGTTGAATATAAAAAAACAAAAACAAAAAAAACAAAAACAAAAAAAAACAAACAAATGCAGGACAGTAAAAAGAACCTTTCGGCTAAATGCTTTTGTTAGCAGACAAAACAACAAGAAAAAAAAATGAGAAAACTGGAACCTAGCTGGTCGGTGGCGGGAATAATGGTGAGCGAAAAAAAAAGGCACAGGGAAAAAAAATTGTCACAAGAATGTTTTCCTGTGACTTTTTTCCCCCCTTACATTCGGGAATAACTATGTGTAATGACAAGAAGTTGTCCTAAAACCAGAACGAACGTGTAACCAACGAGTTTACACAGGCAGTAGAAGAATTTGGGAAAAGTTAATTATTTAATATGAAATGCTAAAATTTCCAAACTTCAACAAGGCAAATAACAACCATGAAATAAAAATAGACATGCAGGGAAATTGTGAGGACTGATAGAGAGAGAGAGAGAGAGAGAGAGAGAGAGAGAGAGAGAGAGAGAGATGGAGAGAAAGAGCGCGTGCGAGTGACAGAGAGATAGAGGGATAGAGAGAGGGAGGCAGAGAGAGAGAGAGATAGAGAGGAAGGGAGGGAGAGTATTTGATCGATTCGATAATAATATGGCGATATGGTACCAACAAATCTGAAACAGTTTGGTCTCACTCTTCACTCTCACCTGCGTACAGGTATCAACAAAAATTAGGGGCCTTGATGGATACAATTGATGTGCCTTTATGGTCGTCCCCCATTAAAATGGGACGACGAGAAAGGAGATGGCTTGTTTCGCTAAATGCTGCGTAGATGTTCACCAAATCTATCAGATATTCTTCTTCTCGCCTCAACTTTATCGCAGGTGCTGCATCTTTGGCAAGCAAATCAAATAATGCACGTGAAACAATATTTAATGCTAAAAGTCCCCTTTGGAAGTTAACTTGCCCCATTGTAAATCGAATATAAAACGGCTGGACCCGAGTTGCTTTGCTAGCATTGAAGTCTGCATATGGCCAAGTACATCGCAAGAGTAGGTTTCAAGTTGTCACCACGAATGATGCATTATTATTTTTTCCCCTTACGTAATGTTGACTTCGCGGGTAACTTTACCAACAATGACCGTATTATTTTCGAGCCATTCCTCTAGAGTTGTAAAACGGCGATTTGCATTGAATAAAAGCCCATAAAGCCCACTGACGCACAGACACGTCTACTCACCCTGAATGCGAAAGGTACAATGCTTGTGACGGTTGCTGAAACGCGAAAATGAAAGCATATGCATAACGATCACAAAATGGTGGCTCAGCTGTATTTCTATAAAATGAATACACATCAGTAGGCCGACTATCATCATCCAAACATATGGTTAAAGGGAGAGTAGGGCAGGGCAAATGAACGGCCTTTGACTACGGTAGTCTGCGTCAACATGTTTAAAGAATGTCTTCTAGGATGACTTAACATTGGTGGTCACGTGGCTTGCTTCTTATTGTTGTCTGGATACGACGCTTGTAGTGGAATGATAGTCGGGTGTCGTGGGATGTGTCAAGGGGATGTGTCCGGGGATGTGTCGTTGGATGTCTCGTTGGATGTGTCGTGGGATGTGTCGTGGTATGTGTCCAGGGATGTGTCGTGAGATGTGTCCAGGGATGTGTCGTCTGATGTGTCGTGAGATGTGTCAAGGGATGTATCGTGGGATGTATCGTGGGATGTATCGTGGGATGTATCGTGGGATGTGTCGTGGTATGTGTCCAGGGATGTGTCGTGAGATGTGTCCAGGGATGTGTCGTGAGATGTGTCAAGGGATGTATCGTTGGATGTATCGTGGGATGTGTCATGGTATGTGTCCAGGGATGTGTCGTGAGATGTGTCAAGGGATGTGTCATTGGATGTATCGTTGGATTGTCCATGGGTTGTCAAGGGATGTGTCGTTGCATGTGTCGTGAGATGTGTCCAGGGTTGTGTCAAGGCATCTAGGGCTATTATATTCTATCGCCTGTTAACTAATGAATTGTCCGTTTTAATATGCATAAATTTGTTTTGAATGATTTGAGTTCAGACTTGAATTGTAGACCTGAATACAATGCAAGAAACGAATTGTTGATCCGGTTAAACGGGTGTTATGTTAGACATTTCTATGTATAGGAAAAGAACCAACATAAAATGTTCTTAATTAAATAGTGATTTGGTAATCGATATGAGGCAATATTATGTGACATAATCTGACATCGGTTCCAACTTAGGCTCTATTAATCCGATTTCGGCGTACTCTGGTTTCGGTTATGTAACTCTAAATTTAGGATGTGTGATTCCAATTCGTGATGATAAGGGCTCTCAATTTTAGTTCTAGCCCGAAGAGAGTAACTCTTACTAAGATGCGGGACTCCGTTATGGGATGTAACGCTTCAGACTTAGACCGTATGACTTGGACTTAAGATGTCTGACTCTAAATTAAGATGTTTGGCGCTAATTTGGGATGTGTGACTCCGAAGTAAAGGATGTGCGACTATGACTTAGACCCTGTTAAAGCTGACTAAGAGTGAGTCTGAGTAGGGAAACATGCTCCACACCAACGATGAAACCTCAGCACCTGATGCTGGTTACCACCGAAAAACTTTACGAAAGAAATTTGTTCAAAAACAGACATTTTGTTCAAAGCAGACTATAGCTTGAAATGAAGTTTGTTAAAAATGAAATAAAAATAGGGGTTGGGGGGGGGGGAGAATTATAAGCTCAGACATTTTGTTCAAAGCAGACTATAGCTTGAAATGAAGTTTGTTAAAAATGAAATAAAAATAGGGGTTGGGGGGGGGGGGAGAATTATAAGCTGCCCCTACCGCGTCAGGTACAATAAATATATGACTCTTTATTCTGTTAGTGACTCCAACAAACTAAACAAAAAATCTGGCATGCCAGGAAGTAGTCTCTCCCCCCCCCCACACACACACCTTTCACTGCGACCCAACACTGCTCACAAATAAATTATTATTTTAATAATGACCCATCACGATTCTCCCGTGGCGCCATCTCTCGGCCATCATCTTCCAAGTCCAGTCTGTCTGCGTGGCGAAGTGTCTCCGGCGCATGATAACGATCTGTTGATCCAGGACGTCGGCCAGGCAACCCTTCGACCCCGTGATGATCGGCTGGTCGACACTCACGTGACTGAGGATAGAGATCTGACGTTTGACCCGTTTCTTGACCACACTGGTGTGGCTGGTGTGGTCTAGTTTGGGGTCTTTAAGAACGGTGAATACGGTAACTATGCCTCCTAGTGTATCGCCCCTGACCGCGTAAGGTCGTGGGGGTTGATTTGCAGCGTAAACCGGCTCTCTCGAAAGGTTAGAGGCGTCAGAAATGTCAACTTGACGCGAGACTCACGCTGTGTTATTTATTACCATTCGATACGTCGAAATCTGATTTTAACATCTGCACTTACACCCGCTACCACCATCGATTTTTAGTGAGACTGCTATGAAGCATTCCAAAATATTCGACTCGTCTCAGGGGTGGACTGGGCCGCCGGGACACCGGGAAGATTCCCGATGGGCCGCTAGGACTGGTGGTATAATAAAAATAAAAGTGATGAAGGTAGGGCCGCTTTTTTTTTTTTTTTCCCCAGGCCGCTTTGATTTTTTCCCGGGCCGCTTGAACTCCCCAGTCCACCCCTTACTCGTCTTGTTCAGAAACCCTAAGAATTGAGCGTACATACAGATGCGTAGCGAGCGGAGGGGGGGGGGGGAAGGGGGGACAGATGTTCCCAAGCGCCAACCGGTGGGGGCGCCAAAATGTGCGTTGATATTATTTTCTTGATGAAAATAATGGGTTTGAGAGTTGAAAAAAAAAGAAAAAGGGGCGCTTTAAAATGGATCTTGTCCGCGGGCGCGAATGTTGTCCCCGGGTGCCAAAAACCCTCGCTACGCCTCTGCTTACATACATAAACTACTGCAGGGGCTGTCAGCGTTGTGTTAATACTGCAGGGGGCGATAACCTTTTTTTGTTTTATAGGATGAGACTCGTTAACCTTGGTCGGCAACTCATCTAAGAGAAAGAAACTCTGAATTCAAACCCGCAGTTGGAGTTCCGTAAGGCGCATACAATGACAATTCCTGAAACCGTACCCATCTCTGGTCGTCTTGACGTACAGTCTTGCCACTGCATATGGTGGGCCCGGACGAGAGAGTGAGGTTGACGCCGCGCAACTCTTCCTCACTTTAAACAAAAGTCAACCGCGTAAGTCATCAGTCACAAGACGACTCGATGGTCATCGTCGATCTTCGATGGACGAACAATAATAATAATAATAGGTATTATTGAGCAAAATTAGGATTTCAAAATCATTTATCGTGCCTAATAAGACGCTTTAAAAAAAAGTCATCCATATAATTCATCTGGTCTCCATTGAAAAATCATTCTGCCGTGCTACGTCATCGTGCACCGGCCGTCAGGTCTCCAACCCCTGTAATACTGTATTTATCAGGCAGGACCCACGGAGACGTACTCACCTTATACCCCTAGCCGCTTGCCTCTGTTCCAGCCACTGCTCTACGCGCTTGGTCCCACGCAGCATCAGTTCCGACCTTCTGTTCCTGGAGACTGACGAGCTGGACTGTCTTTTGATCGGCAGCGTCTGCAGGACCGGGGCGTCCGCCGGGCTGGAGATTCTGCTGCTGTGCGACATGGTCAGCGTCATACCCGTGACGGGGATCTCCGCGTCCGTCTCGTCCTGGTTCAGCGGCTCCGTGCCCTGTTCGTCGCGGGGCGCCTCCTCCTCGATGGCCTGGTCCATGAGAGGGTCCGTCGTTGAGATGGGAACTGACGTCATGCCGGAGGCGAAGGAGGAGCCGGGGGACGTGTCCTGGCTTCCGGTTTCGACAGTGGAGTCCTTCTCTTCAATGGGTAGAATCTTACCAGCGACTTCGAACGTTTTTCTCCCATGTTTCTTGTGGCTTAGCTTCGACCCGGCACGGCTGGGGAAGTCGATGGTCTCGTACTTTGAGTTGGCGTTAACCTCAAGTTGAACAAAAAAGAAAAGAAATATGGTGGTTCATTGGGGTTGAGACGTGCTGTTTAAGTGATGTATTCAATACCGACCCCGTAATCAATAGCTACATGCGAGCCGCTGGTATAACCCGTATGGACGAGCTTTTAATGTCAGACAGAATATAATATAAACATAATTTTATCCTTAGCTTTGATATAAATATTACTGCCAGGCCTAGTTAGGGGCATGCGAAGGAAAAAAAAAGGGGGGGGGGGACAGGGAGGGGCGAAAAATGACACTCTACTCTTCAGCAGGCGCCAAAATCGCCGATTTCATGCAAAATATGTGGATTTAGATAAACACCTACGAGGGCGCCTAAATCTAGGCTCTGCATCAGTTGCAGCATTTGCTTTCCACGGCAATGCTACCAGCAACTAAATATAGGTATATCATACCATATTGAAACAATCACTTTGAGTGGAAGAGCGAATCCAGTTTAAAATTAATTTAAAAAAAAATAATTTTGAAAAATAATTCGAACACTTTTTTTTTTGGGCCTCTTTCTCTTCCCATGAACAACATTTTCAGTTTTAGCAGCTTCAAATACACATCTCGATCTCCCAGTGTTTCATTGTAACAAAGTCAACGGATACACAATGAAGACATTACAATTTCTAATGCATAACGCAGGTGTGTACCATTTTTTGTGGAAACTGCGCATTTTTTATATTTTTTGAGTTTTTGGAGCTGATGAGCTTCTTGTCCATCTTTGGAACTGGAAACTGGGATAAACAAAAGAAAGAAAAACGTTTCTTTTAATTGGTCTTTCATAGTATTCAAATACTCTTGATGAAACAATTTAAAAAACCTAACAAAAGCCATCTGTAGCTTGTACCCATATCGCTCAACTGTAATATGTAACCAATGAAAGCCATCTGTATCTTGTACCCATATCGCTCAACTGTAATGTATAACCAACGAAAGCCATCTGTATCTTGTACCAATGCATATCGCTCAACTGTAATATGTAACCAACGAAAGCCATCTGTAGCTTGTACCCATATCGCTCAACTGTAATTTGTAACCAATGAAAGCCGTCTATAGCTTGTACCCATATCGCTCAACTGTAATATGTAACCAATGAAAGCCATCTGTATCTTGTACCCATATCGCTCAACTGTAATATGTAACCAATGAAAGCCATCTGTATCTTGTACCAATCCATATCGCTCAACTGTAATGTATAACCAACGAAAGCCATCTGTATCTTGTACCAATGCATATCGCTCAACTGTAATATGTAACCAACGAAAGCCATCTGTAGCTTGTACCCATATCGCTCAACTGTAATTTGTAACCAATGAAAGCCGTCTATAGCTTGTACCCATATCGCTCAACTGTAATATGTAACCAATGAAAGCCATCTGTATCTTGTACCCATATCGCTCAACTGTAATATGTAACCAATGAAAGCCATCTGTATCTTGTACCAATCCATATCGCTCAACTGTAATATGTAACCAATGAAAGCCATCTGTATCTTGTACCAATGCATATCGCTCAACTGTAATATGTAACCAACGAAAGCCATCCGTAGCTTGTACCCATATCGCTCAACTGTAATTTGTAACCAATGAAAGCCATCTGTATCTTGTACCCATATCGCTCAACTGTAATATGTAACCAATGAAAGCCATCTGTATCTTGTACCAATGCATATCGCTCAACTGTAATATGTAACCAACGAACGCCATCTGTAGCTTGTACCCATATCGCTCAACTGTAATGTATAACCAACGAAAGCCATCTGTATCTTGTACCAATGCATATCGCTCAACTGTAATATGTAACCAATGAAAGCCATCTGTAGCTTGTATCCATAAAACTCAACTGTAATTATTATTGTCAACCACGCGACTCGCAAAGGACCAACAAATAACCTTTAGCTAAAACTATAATTGTCCCCAGGAACAATAGGATTTATTTCCTCTTCACATCAAGGTGCCTGGCATGAGAAACAATGCACTGCACAGACGTCCCTTTGACTTTGATAGCTAATAGTACAAAAATAAATACATTAAAAACAAATATTTATTGCACTCTTGGCACTGTTTGAGGATCAATACCGATTGTGAACTTAAGGTCACCGGAAGTATTAATACAAAGTTAAGCCTGTGCTACGAGGCTTATTTAGCCCACGTAGGCAGCCTATACTCTTCTTTGGCACCATATTATTTACAAGAGATCGCCTTAGACCAGTGGTCGGAAAATCGCGGCTCTTTAGCGACCTGAGTGCGGCTCACACATCGGTTTTGACTCCGAAAAACAATGACATGGTTCTTGACTGGTTTTGGAAAAGAAATTTGGCTCTGATTCGCTGCTGATTTTTTTTTGGGTTCTTTTGACTGATGCGTTTGCCGACCATTGACCCCGGAGTGACATCTACGACTGAAATATCTAATCAAAACGGTCAGAGGATAAGACTAAATATCTCCCACCCCTGAATCTGCACGTGCACCCCAAAGCTCATTTGTCAGCCCCCCCCCCCAACTACAAATCCAGCAAATGAATGTAGCACAAACCCACACACNACCCCCATCCCCAACAAGAGAATAAACATCAGCAAATAAATATTTATTTTTAAAATGCTTTTAATAAGGTGTAAAAAAATATATTTTTTTAAACAGTGACAACTTAAAATCCCTGACCACAGTCAATTTTATTTGCAAAATTTTTTAAGAATTGATACTTAGTCAAAATAATATTTTACTAAATTTATTGCTAGGTAATTTTTCATCGTGACTTTGATAATAACATTTTTTTTATATATTATCAAAGATAACTAGAATTGTTGATGTCAATTTCTATTGATTCATTCCCCCCCCCCCCTGTTATAAATTGTCAAACTATTTCCACCCCCGCCCCCCATTTTCTGGACAAAATGACATAATTAATGGACGGCCCCATGCGATAGACAATTTCATGTTTATGTGGCTTTTACTTTGAAGATTACATGTACATGGTGATAGATGATGCTGAAGAAAAAATCGAAAGCTGGAAGAGTTAATGAAGAACTTGGATTCGCTTAAATAAATCACTTAAAATTTTTTTATCTGAAGAGCAAGACAGAATGGTGGCATTTACCAAAAACTCTAACTAGTAATAGCTTTCAAATGACGTGTTTTGCTGTAAAAATGCAGAAATATCCTTCAAGTAAAAGTTGCCACACAATTGATGAGAACTCCATAAATGGATTGTAAAGGTGTATGTGTGTGTGTGTGAAGAAAGTGGGTAGTATTTTTCAAATCTGTTGTCAAATCGAATTTTGATCGATTTATACTTACATAAGCCGCCAGCCACTGGATGGTGTTTTGATGGCAAGGAAAGTTGGACTAACTTCCTGTTCAAATAATTTTGTTGATGTAATTTCAAATTTCAGAACTTTGGCGCAAAATAGCGGAAATAGTTCCATCGGATTTAACAACAAAAAAAAAAAAAAAAAAAAAAAAAAAAAAAAAAAAAAAAAAAAAAAAAAAAAAAAAAAAAAAAAAAAAAAAAAAAAAAAAAACCAACAACACAAAATTATCTTAATCAAAATTTGAAGAGAGTAGAGTTAATATATGATGTTATTACGTGCCTGGATCTTTAAGATGACCAGAATAGGCAAGCCACGGAGAAAACTCATCAAGCCAAGCATACCGAAAACAACGTTTTTTGCCAGGTTTATCCTCACTGAAATTGTAACCAGCTATTGTTTAGTATGGGTTTGTGACTAAACTATCTTCTAAAACAAGTGAAAGTTGAGATATTGACCGAATACATCGACCCAAATCAAAAGCCTTGCTTGCCATATCACAGTCAAAATTATTATGTCATTATGTGTTGAAATTTCAGTGTCAAATCTGAGTCGCAGCTGTGAGAACCACTGGTAGTGTTTTCAAACCCCTGCGAATGTGACGAAATGGTCGGGTCACTACCTTCAGTTTGTTCTTTAACGTGTTGGTCCTCTGTGGTCAATTTCGTTGATGTGGACACAGTTGATAAGTCACAACATATCTTACACTTACGCTCATCGTCATTAATGATAAGTTACAACATATCTTACACTTACGCTCATCGTCATCAAATGACTTCTTTTGTCATTTGTGACATCGACAAAGAAATGCTATTTATTTTTTATATAAACTATTTTATACATACACGGGGGCTAAGTGCAAAAATAAATTATTTTTATTATTAATTGATTCTTTTCCAGGTTGGGTCATGTGACCCACCTTGACCCAAAGTGTGGGCCTCCATGCACATGGTGTATCCCAAGCTGTCTTGTCTTCCTTGTACTACCAAAACTCTGCTGGTTTCAGGCTAAATACTCCCTCATCTATTTCTCTTGTACTTGTGTACCCACGCCCATTGCTTCCTTTCTCAGCCCTGGTCATTTGTGCCATACCGTTGTGTAAATTTTATGTATTTATATGCAAATATAACTGACATTTTTTTAATTAGTATCTGTATTGCAAAAAGTGTTTGAAATTGTACATTTTTGGAACTAGTGGCAGCACAGTGGTGTCGATTGAAAGTAAGCCATGTATTTTCAGCCAGCCGTTTATTTCCAGCTAGAATTCCCAAGTAAGAATTTCAAAATTTAAGACATTTTTTTATAAA